CCCCCCCCCCGCTCCTGTTTGCCCCCCCGACCCGCTGCTGTGTGACACCCTGCGCTGCTCCTGTTTTACACCCTGACCCGCTGCTGTGTGACCCCCCGACCCGCTGCTGTGTGACACCCTGCGCTGCTCCTGTTTTACACCCTGACCCGCTGCTGTGTGACACCCCAACACACTGCTGTGTGATACCCTGCGCTGCTCCTGTTTTACACCCTGACCCGCTGCTGTGTGACACCCCAACACACTGCTGTGTGATACCCTGCGCTGCTCCTGTTTTACACCCTGACCCGCTGCTGTGTGACACCCCAACACACTGCTGTGTGACACCCTGTGCTGCTCCTGTGTTACACCCTGACCCGCTGCTGTGTGACCCCCCGACCCGCTCCTGTGTGACACCCTGCGCTGCTGCTGTGTGACACCCTGACCCGCTGCTGTGTGACACCCTGCGCTGCTCCCCTCCTCCTGTGTGACACCCTGCACTGCTCCTGCGTGACACCCTGCGCTGTCCCACTCGTGTGTCACACCCTGCCTGCTGCCGCCCCGCGCTGCTCCGTGCTCCTGTACTGACCCAATTGCCCAGAGCAGCCCCTGGCTAGAACCACGCCTGGGGAGCCGGGCAGGCCTCCCTCGTCCTTCGCAGGGCACGTCCTACAGACCCGCAGAGCTTTCTATTTTATGTGCGTCGCTTTGATCGCCGAGCTCTCCCTTTGAAGTCGCGGTTAGCGCGGGCGCTTGCGCTTTGCTGGTGTGTGATCCCGTTCCCAAGTCCTTTGACCTTTGCTGCGGCGACGGCGGAGTTTGGCTCGCGTGCTCAGCCCAGGGAATCGGACACGGCTGCCGCCGGCGCCCGGCCCCGCGCGGGGACACGTTTGCCTGCGCCAGCCAGGCCAGGCGAGCTGCGGGAGGGAGGCTCCTTCTGTGCCGCTCCAAGAAGCCGCGCTGGGTCTGCGCGGCGAGGTTTTGGTAGCGGGGGCCTTGGCGGGGTACGGCGGCACACCCAGGAGCGGCGCTGGGCCCTCGGCAAGCGCTTCCCCCCGGGCAGGCAGGGCG